CTTCCGGAAAAAGTGTGCGGAGGAAGACGTCCTTCTCACTGGGCTGGTTCGTTTTCTGATCCTCAAAAACATGGTGGGTAAAATGGGGTCAACAAATATGGGTTATGGGTAAAATGAATCCAAAAAACTGATCTTCTTTTGGTGGGCGAAATGGAAATCCAACCACTGCAGACGAAAAAAGCTCAAAACCGAAGGAAACGGATGGCTGGGAACCACCCGGAAATAGGAATCGGCACCCTTGGAACAGGGCAACGGTAAGGAAACCAATGGAAGAATCGGCCCCATTTTTTGAAAAACACTCAAAAACAACCCAAAAGCCAGAAGCACTCTTTTAGAGGGGGACACATTATTTTTCCCGAACTTGCAGGGCCTGCGATTCCTTCAATTCGCCACCGGGTTTCTGGGTAATCACAAGGTGTGTCTTCAAATAGGGGACCCCTCAAATTGGGCGGTTTTCAACTTTTGTTTCCCTTTGAAGACGATCAAAAGGGTACCAAAAACACACAGACCCATACGGCCGAGGCCGCTCAGAAAACCTTCGCAGCCTGATTCTGCTCGGTTGCAAAGGCCGGACGAAAAGGACAGATCTTCTCGATAATTGCGTCTGTTTCTCATGAAAAATGACAGCTTCCTAAATGGATTGGAAGAACAAAACACAATTTACAAAACAACTTCAGCTTCCATTTGGTTAAGACCCCTGGAAACAAATAAAAATATGTCCAGTAGTGATAAATTCCTTTTAAAACCAACAAGGGAAGATCAAAAAACGGATTCTTAAGCAAATGGAAGTCAGTAAAGTCCAGGAATTCAGAGAAATCAGAAAAAACTCCAGGACCTCAAGACGGGTTGGGCCAGATTATTCAACCATTTTTGAACCACCTGCTTTGGGCTACGGAAGTGGCTGGTGGACATGCATCCCCACCTGAATGATGTCCGACAAAAGGTGGCCCATGGACATTCATGCGCTTCGGGGTCCCTTTTTAAGGGAAACAAAGCGGGGCTTGTTGTAGCACCATTTGCCCAACTCTGTCAGGAAATGAGTCAGTTTCTTGGCCCAACATTGCGCTACACCAAAAAACATATGTTCAGACTCTGCTTCATACTTAGTCTACCCGTAAATACTGGGAAATACCGTGGATGGACAAACACCCGGACCAGTTGGTGGTGTCTTATTCCTGCAGGTTTCGCCCATCCCAAACTGCTGAATTTCGTCCATCCGCAGTATGCTTCGTTGTGGTGGTTCTGAAACATCACCTTGGCCCATAGAAAAGTCTTTCTCAAAAACAGGTGTCTTCCTCAAATTGGGTTTTTATTTTGTTCCCCCCAAAAAAGAAGGCACCACCCCAAGATTACCATCCAGAAAAGGACACACTCTCCCACCAAGCCTGGGCATGGTCCCCTTTCAAAGCAAACAGGGTACCCAAACCCACCGATTCCCACGTCAGGTTCCATTGGGAGGGTCCCTCCGAGTTTTTGCAGATCCTGGCCGCCTGATTCCCACGGGATCTGGCCTCCTGCCGGCCATCGGATGGCCTCACGTGGCTCGGGCTCGGACACCGGGGCCCTGGGCCTTTCGAGTGAAAAGCTGGTCCGAAAGTCTGCGAGTCCCATATCTTACCCGCTTCCAGGCGTGAACCGTTTTTTTAAGGCTTGCGACCAGGGAAACCAGTGTGTACCTAGAGGTAAGGATGCGTTTCACGCCTGGAAGACACTGGCTTAGACGCCCAAGGCTCAGCCTTTCTGTCGACCCCCTGATTATGACCCATGCGGCTCTGAATCCTCCGTTTTACTTATATAAGTCCACCGGGGAAAAATCTATCCAGAACTGATAGATCCCTTTAAAACCACAGGGCGAGACGAAGTCATCAGGCTGTCTCGCTGAAGACGAGAACACCCACTTGAATGGGGCCCAAAGGCATAGGTTCAGGGAGCCAACAGTCCGCAAAGACCTTCCCGAACAGAGAACCTGCTTTGCCCTGTTCGCCTTATTTGGCAATCATTCACGCGGCGTAAAGCCCTCAAGGCGAATCTTGCAAGTGGGGAATCCGAAAGCAAATCCAGCCTTAACACACAAGTATCTGCGTCATGGTCAAAACTCCTTGTGTGGGCCATGGTCAAAACCACCAAGAAAACCCGAAACGTAGGCTTTTCTAAAGTCCCGAGTAACCTTACCAACCCCACGTAGTTTTCTGTTTGACCATGGCGCATCTAACCAAACGGCTCACGTCCTGCCCATTTCGCTTGGCTCACCCCCCCCCCCCCTTGTCATTCAAAGAAGACAAAAAGCAGGAGTCACTGAACCGATTTCCCCGTCGAAAGTGGCAAATGGCTAGTATCCACTGAACTTCTGAACCGATCGATCCTTTTTTGGAGGTCGCTGGCGCTCAGGGAATGAGAAATGGAATGGCCCTTTGAAACCATCCTTTGCTGGCGGTTTCTTTTCAGGAACTGGACCAAAGCCTGGGTGCATTCAAACACCTTCCCTATCGCAACAGCCAGAAACACGGAAACTTCTGAAACCCGTCGCTCCAGGCCTGGAGCCCCCAAGCCGCCAGCCGCTTGCCGCCAGCCGGGCTCGCTGAAGCAAAAAGTGCGACGGGAAGGGTTGGAATGACCCAAACTGCGGGGTTCTTAAGGGGGTGGTTACAGGGGGTTCACTACAAGGGGCAAAAGAGGAGTTTACCTACAGAAAGGTTCATTCAAGTGAGCATTACGATGGAGCCACGTTGTTTGTTTCGGGGAGGGGGCGGTGTTGTCATTCAAACTGCAATTTAGGGGGAGAGTTTGAGAATGTCAAAGTCACTTTGAATTGAGACAAATGGTTCCTACGATGTTTGTTGCAAGCCCGCTCGAGCTCCCAACAATTTATCCCATACTGTGGGTGGACGAAATCCTGCACCACCTAAGAATCCCTAGAATCCCTAGAATGATGATTCCCCTGTAAATACCAACAATGAATGGTTTCCCATGGTTTCAAAGTGGTGCAGGATTTCGTCCACCCACAGTATGACTGATAGATGACAGGGGGTCCTTGCTACCTACTTGCTATGAACCACAAGCCATCACAAATCCTGGGGGTGTTACAAATTGTTCCCTCGGATTGAGGGGAAAGGTATCTCGGCATTCATTCGGGTGATTCTCCGCCGAGGAGTTGGAATGACTCCGAAAGCCATCCCTTGTGGATTGCTCCAAGATCCCACACGGTCAAAAACCCAACCCCCCGAAATTCCCGGAGAGAAGCAGCAAGTAGCATGCGAACATGTCGGGCCTCTCCAAAGCACGAATCCCGAACGCCCAGTGCAGTTCAAAATGTGAAATCGTTGCGATTGGAGCGGCCCCGGTGCTTGGGGAAGATTCGCCAAGTTCCATCAATACTTCGCTTGCTCAACACTTGCGATCGGTAAGCGAAATCGGTGGGGGATGAGAAATGGACTGAACCTGGGGATTCCCCAATAAAGGAAACCATAGGTTCGTAGGCGTCATTCCATTTCTCATTCCCTGCCTATCGCAGCAAAAAACAAATCCAGTCTTGTGCAAGATCGCTGTAGGCACCCCTTGGGACCCGGAACCTTCATGGGGCCCGCGATCCGCGACTCATTCGCTCGAGGTGAACCCCGGAGCCCACAATGATCCGCCGAATACTAAACTCAACAGCAGTCATTTCGACGGTACTTCATATGTGTCGCTTTGCACCATTCACATGCCCAAGGCTCCCAGCACTCTTTTGCTTCAACGCAGTGTCTTCAGGCGCTTGTGCTGGCGCTTGTGGCGCTTGTGCCGGCGAGTGAGGGCACATCTCCCAAAGGCTTCGCGGTTGAGCCTCCAGTCACTCGTGCCAAATCAACCCCCGGCCAATTCCCACAGGTCCCGCGCCCCGATACTAACAGAGTCCTGCGAAACTGAACTCGCGCTGGCAGTGGACTATGCGTCCTTACAATGCTCACACAAGCACACGGGCACACATACATGGCTCACATACATGTGGGCATAATATTTGAATTGGGGACCCTTCGGTGGACATCATCCAATTACCACCAATCATGCTTGAAGAGGCTCCCTATTACTTAGCTTTAATACTTTTCATCCAGGCTCTGTCTAGTTGCATGGTATCCTTGCCAGCGCCGGCGTTCCAAAAGCGTTCCTAAACCTACAAATGCTTTAACACGTTGTCCACCATCGTGCTGTCCGGATTGCCGTCGCCGGCCGGGTCCTCCTTCAGGGGTCGAACCCATGCCCAACAAGTTGCACATGGGGGTTGATCAAAAGGTCCAAAAACACGGGATGACCATCAAGGAAACCACCAAAAGCATACGACTTTCACCACGACATGGGAAGGACAAGTTACCATGGTCATTTTGGGGCCCTTAATGGAATATTGATCCACCCCCACATGTTGGATACCAGCGTTCTGCCCTCGGAGTGTTTCCCCGTTTCCCTGCACAGTTCAGGTCACTGGGGGTTGTCTTTTGGAGGTATGGATGCTTACCACAAGCTTGTGAGGCAGCATCTACCCCGAGTGGGAAACATGAGCTCCGTGCCTCCAAACTACCTGCTTGTTGTTCCAAGAATACAAAACCAACAGAACCACACTTCAATAACCCACGCTTTGATCTCTCGCTTTGGACTCGGAGCTATGGTTTTGGAGACCCCAAACACGGTAGGACCACCTGAACTTTCAAAAAAAAGAGCCTCAAGTCAAAGATGTAAACCCCGGTTCCAACCGAAACGCCACAACTAATTGCTCTGAAATGATGGAAAAAATTAGGAGCGACGCATCTGCGGATTTGCAAGTTTGAATTCGTGAGTCGAAATCCGTTGAACTGAGGGTTCGAAGGGAAGGGTTCCACTTTTCAACTTCTAGGCTCGACTCCGGTGGATTTAACTCGATGGCTTTGTCTCTCTTTCGGGACCTTTTGGTGAGTTCGGTCTGTGGTTCTCCTCAACAACCCCGAAAAACGGTACCCTGAAACCTTGAGCACACTTGGAATCCTTGCAAACAG